GATGGATGGATGGATGGATGGATGGATGGATGGATGGATGGATGGATGGATGGATGGATGGATGGATGGATGGATGGGTTGCCAGTATTTGCTTTGATATTTCAGATAAGCTGCTTGTTGTAGTTGATTGTTGAAAAAACTGTTTTAATACTGCAGAAAATGTATCTGCATTAAAATTATAGTTTAGCTTGCGTCCATCGTGCAAATAGATAAAAGGCCTCTCCAAACCCACCCCACCCCTGCTTGTCACTAATATCAATAAATTCTGAAAATATTCAGTAATGACTGGCTACACATTATGTACATACACAAAAAAAAATTTAAGCCCCTCAGATTCAAACTTTTACATAGAAAAAATGTAATTTTTATATAGTGCGTAGTTTTAAGTAAAGTAATACATAAAATGTTACAAACTGATTCTATTCGTAGAAAAAAATGTTTTCTTCAAGATGGCCTGCAAAAAAATCCCTGCTAGTTTTCCTACTCATAGAAAAATGTTGCTAATTTTAAAACTTTCTCTATAAAAAATAATTAAACATTTTAAACTGCCAGACTTTTAAGTATCACAACAATTTGTAACAAATCAGACATTATGTCCTGCAAACTTTACCTTTGTAGGTCAAATGTGTGAAGTTGAAAATATTTTCTAGTGTGTCATTCACAAGCCATGCCCACTTTAGCCAGTCCTTACCAAATTATTTAGCACTCAAGTTTGTGGTCTTAAGCAAGCGTAGTAGATTTGACATCAATTGGCATTAGCATTTTGAGACATGGTGCATTTTTAATGGCCCATAAAACTTGGTAGATGTGAAAATTTCAACACAGGAAATACCCTTTGGATGTATGATTTCATGAGAATATGTGTTAACATAAACATTTTGATAATGCTAACAAGCTAGCTTTGTARATAAATAAGTCGGTCATAGAACCACTACTCTAGGTGCTACAGTAGAAGATTCATGCTTATTGGAGTTGTGATTGAGAGGAGATATTTTTTAAATATGCCAATTTGCATAAACAACAATGCATTTTTAAAACAAAACATATTTACTCAAAAATACAGTACAAATGAACAATTAATTACCAAAATACGCTTATTGTTTTCTGTGTTCATTTGGTTCTCCAGAGTGTTTATACTTATTTCTTTCTAGTGTGCTCTACTATTTTTTTCCTAAATGTTTTCTTTCTAATGCTTACTTGAATGGTTGCAGCTGTAATAATTGCAATTCCCCCCCCCCCCCCC